GGGTCGTCTTATACGCTGGAAAATACGGGTATGTTAAGGGCCTAAGGAAGTACAGGATTGCAAAAAGCCTCCTGACTCCTGGGAGAGGAGAGGAGAGCACATAGAAAGATTCCCTATTGTGAGGGAGTAAGGAGCCTTTTAAATTTAATTAAACATCAGTGTGTTAGGCATAACATCCAACATTTCATAAATGAAAACTAGGGTGCATGTGGCCAAGGAACATCAGCATGTGATTAAGATGGCAAAAGGTTTTAATCAGAAAGAACATACAAGATAGAAGAGGCTGCAGCAGTTTGCTTTTGTCTAAGTCTACTAGGAAGGGCAAGACTCCATTGCCGTCTCTCTTCTCCCTTCCCAAGTTAAGTGAGTGCAAACTACTTTTGCATTTTGAATTTAGTTTGCAGCAACGAAGGTAAGCTGAGGATAAAGGAGGAAACTGAAAAGAGGAGAGAGAAACTGGGACATTATAAAAGTAGCTGAAAAAGAGAGACAGCAGAGGATTAATCAGGATTGTTCCTGGCAAATCGGGACAGTTAGAAGGTGTGGTGTTAGGGTACTGAGCAGCTGCACCCAAACCCTCAGTTATGCATGAGGCCAATGAGCCCAGTCAAGTTTACAATCTTATCTAAATAAAATTACTTTAGATTTTGCACTACCATCCTATTCACATGTCTGCCTTTTATGTCCTGCTATTTGAGCCACTTATATCCGCTGTCTTTCACTCCCCCACAATCAATCTCTCTTAGCACAAAGACTACACAATCTAGATTTGTATCAGGAAAGGCACACTATCAAGATTACACATAAATCTAAAACTAAACAATTGCAAATATATTCCTAGACATGCTTAATACCTCTTCGAATTACCACAAATAATGGAGGAGAATTAGAACAAAGGAACAGTAAAATATTATTACAGTCTTTATCAAGTACTTTCTAATGTATAATCCCATCACTGTCTTAAGAAAGAAAAACAGATTAATAGGTTTAACCTTCTTGTACTCCACAAAATAACCAATCTCCAATTGGCTGCACCCTCGACAATGATACAGAAATTAGACAGAAGTTACCTGGGTGTTTTTCCAAAGCTGCTTCTGCATCTACTAAAGCATCCAAAATACCTTCAGTCAGATCAGGACACTTTCCAATCACTGCATAGCCATTCCAGATATACATCATTTCCTAGAAGTGATTAGGAAGCAGAGAACAAACATATGACAGAGAAGAAAACAGGGGCCTTAGGCCAAGAAGATTTATTAGTTAGTTAAAATATACTTTAAATTACTGAAACACATCTGTAAATACTTATATTTAAAATATAAGCCCCATCATCCACAGGAGTAGCTGTGGATGTCTGTTGCAGCAAACAAAAAGCAAAACAAAATCCACAACCCTCATATCTTGCTTTAATTCCTTTAATTGTTAGTTTTTAAACTTCTGTAAGATTCAGTTGTTTCCACTCACAACTCCAACTCACAATTCTTATTTGGCTTCACTAGTCTCACTGTCTTGACACTCTTTTTCTGTCGCCAGCATGTCTCTATTGGTTTCTCCTCAGAACCATTTTTTAAACATTCAACTACATTTCTTTTCCACACTTGTTCCCTCAAATAAAAACATTCTTAGCCTATTCTGTCCTCCCTTTAGCCATTAGAACTGCCAAGCTCCACACTAAAACCAGTACTGCTGTTGCTTTTTCTTCCTCTCATCATGTAATACCATACCCACTAACATTTCACAGAGGAAAAAAGGAAGACGTGTGATTTATAAGGCATGTGGCAGAGCAAAATTAGAGTAGATGCCAAGGGTGTGACCAGACAACATAAGGACATTGTCAAGGGTGTGGCCCAGTACACAAATTATTAGGGAGCAAGAACATACAACTGCAGTATTTTAAGCAGAGAAAACCTGTATGTACTAGATTTATGAACTAGAATGAGGAAAGTCTGAAAAACAGGAAGAAAACCCAATAAATGAATACTATGTTTGCCTTTGTGTGGGCGCAGCATGGTTAAATGTAAAATTATATACATGATACACTGTTGTAAATTTTTAAAAGTCTTTAGCAGACCCTGTTAAAAATTACTCTGCACTGCCAAAATAATGCAGTTTTTGACACCACTTTAACTGCCACAACTCAGTGCTATGGGATTCTGGGATTTGTGGTATTGTGAGATACTTAGCCTTCTGTCAGAGGGCTTTGGTGCCACAACAAACTACAAATCCCAGGATTCTATAGAATGAAGCCATAATAGTTAAAGTGGTGTCAAACTGGATTGTTTCTGCAGTGTGGCAGCACCCTTAGAATCCAAATCCCACTGAACTAGTATCTACTAATTGAGTAGATATATGTATTATTATATTAATGGAAACAGAATATTGCTCTGTAGAGGCAGACTCTCAGAATAAGCAATCAGTGAATTTCTCAAATACTGGACCTCTACATTAGGTAGAACAAAGTTGCCATTTCTTTTCTAGGATACTGTGGATCCCTATGGAGGTCTACACACAAGCACACCCAATCATGCTTACAGTAATGAAATTTGCTCTCAGGAAAACATTATAGGAATTGTCTTATCTTGTCTGTGTAGTATGCAGTCTTGAGAGAAACAGAGAAGAGGATAATCCTGGCCTGTGACTGAAATAATTTTGTTAATTCAAGGAAAAGAATACCCAAACACATGGAGGAGCCTGGAGGTTGATGAAATGGTGGGATAGCAGTGTAAGAGACCCAAACTCTAAGGGGGGGGGGGGAGAAAAATGGAGGTTTCGTCTTCAGAAAAGAAGAAATGTGCTCAGGGTTGATGAAGTCTATAGGAAGTATGATCATGAGTTTACATTACAAGAATGGGAAACTATATGGAGAGACACCCAAAAATTTACAAAATGTAATACCTTGAAATAATTTTTTTATAAAATCTTCTTTAGGTGGTATATGACCCCTGCCAGATTACATAAAATCCAGGGGAAAACAGGAGAATGGCGCTGGAAATGTAGAGTAGAAAAGGGAACATTCTATCATTCATGGTGGAGTTGTAAAAAGGCAAAAAGTTACTGGAAAAAGATATATCAAATGATGTGTAAGATCTTAATGATAAATATTCCATTTAAGCCTGAACTCTTTCTACTCAATATGTTAGCTAAAATTAAGAATAAATTAAGTTCAGATGACAAAAGCTTAATCTTATATATGGTCTCAACAGCACGAATAGTTTATGCACGATATTGGAGACAAAAGGCTATACCTACCGGTAATATAAATGAATGGCTTATGAAATTGAGTGAAATAGCTACCATGGATATATTGTCTATGTGTGCTGCCAGGAAAACGATGCAACAATATGAAAACAAGTGGAAGAAAGTTATAAAGGATTTTTGTGTGTGTATACATGCACCACAGAGAGAGAGAGAGAGAGAAGTGAGAATAGAAATATGCAATAACTGAATTATAAACAGTGAAGTCAAATACAGTAGGCCCTCAGCATCTATGAGGGTTTGGTTCCAGATCCAAAACAACAACAACAACACACCAAACACATACAAAAAAACCACGGAGGCTCAAGTCAGTTTTTAACATTTAAGATTACCTGGATGACAAGGTCCAGACATCCGGAAAGCATTCTTCCTGCACTGTTGCCCACCTTCCCATCATGAAGGCTCTGCCAGAATTTAAATCCTTTCCTGATTGTTTCCCACCTCCTCAACCATCCCTTCACAAAATCTCTGCTGGATTTTAAACCCCTTTGCCACCAATCCATGTCAGAGATGGGCAACAGAAGGAGTGGGGCAAGGAGGTGTATTGGCAAGAAAGGGGTTTAAATTCTGGCAAAACCTTCCTTGTGAGAAAGTGGAAAATAAAGTGAGGCAGGATTGTAAATTCTGGCAGAGACTTCCTTGTGAAAGGATGGGAAATGAGTGAGGCAGGGGTTTAAATTTTGGCAGCGGCTTTGTGATGTACAGCAGTGGCATCACTAGGTTGGTGTCACCCAGCGCAGCAACTCATG